ATATGTGTTCGATTTCTTCTATGTGAGAAAAAGTCAACGTTTTTCCACCATTGACTTGTGCCAGTACACTCGGATTTTGCCATTTTTGTTCGATTATGTGAAATTATTCCAGATATTCGTTCTGTTAATTCTGCCGCAATAGATAGCTTTCTCCTTGACTTAGCCTTTGATCTTTTTCTTATTAAATACTTTAAGAGTGGAGACATCCATGAAGGGTCACGAGTGGAAAGAGTAACTGTTTTCTTTGGAAAACATTGATCTATCATATTATGGATAGTGTTCTCCAATACTTTAGTTGCTTCTTCAACTGTTTCCAATGACATAACTTCAGACCAACTTTTCTCGGCAAGCTTCTTTTGAAATTTGACTTTATTCTGTGCTCTGTAGTCCCTAAAGCTGATTTTAGTGCGGATGGGCTTTAATTTTATTCCTGCCGGAATTATGACTCCCAAGTGGTCTGTTTTCATTTGTATATGCAATGGGTATGCTTTATTGAAAAGTTCCGGTCTATTTGTAAAACAGTTATTAAGAATTGCTTGCCCTCTTGTGGGAAAGTCTACCAAAGGCAACATGCCAGACATTGTGGAAAGTTGACTAGCGTTTAGATGATTAATGTCTCCACCAAAGAGAACCAAGCTATTTGGGTTAATGTCTAAAAAATCGTCAACAACTTCCACAATTCGATTCAAAAAATCTGTTTCATCATAACTAAATCTTGGAGGGTGATATGCTCCAATAACTAACATTTTATGTCCCGTTGGGAGAGTAAGTATAATACTAATCATTTCAAATTCTGTTTCCCGAATGACACGAATTACTTCCAAGTTCTGTCGAAGATATACTGCAATTCCTCCATTTTTTCGTGTATCTGCATTATAGTCTCTATCTCTACGGTATAGGTTATATGATGTCATTGCAACAACGGAGTCTGGAATTTTATTGTTTAAATGGGTTTCCGACACGACACATATGTCAATATCTGAAGCGCATAAATCCGCTTCTAACGCCACTGAAGCTTGTACTCGATTTTTCGTTTTCTTAAGATTACATATGTTAATAAAAAGTGATTTAGGTACTGGAAACGATTGATTTTCCATTTGTATGTGTTCAGGACAATGCTGTAGTATTCTCAATTGTCTAGGTTTTGCATATATTTTTCTTTGAAAGTTTGATACGCGATGGGTTATTCTCACAGGAATTTTTTGAACAAGAAGTTCAACGGGAATCGAACTGTAATTTTCATGTGATTCTCTCTCATTTTCCTTAGAATTTACTTTGTCGTCAGCCGGCAAACAAGATCTAAATGCGCCAACCATTCCGCCCTTCGAACATGAGGCAAGGGCGGGGGACGCCCCAAAAAGCCCCGCCGAAAAGGACAGTTATTAGTATTGTCACACTCAGACATGCATTCGTCGCCGTCTAAGACAATAAATTCAGAGATTTCAGCTGGTATTTGGCCAATGCACACATCCTGAGTAACTGTCTCAGTGCTAGTACTTCATGTGCGCTGCCCATTTGGATGTTACCGTCAAGCGCGTGAAATTTAAGTTCGACGAAAAAGTGCAATTTCACTTCAAAATTTTATTAGTTTAGGGAGCATTCATTTTTTAGCTGGGGGGTGGGCCGGAGGAATTTGGGGGTGGGTCAGCCAATTTTGACATGCTTCAAAGGGGTGGGTCTTTTTATAGTTTTGGTATAAATGGAGGGGGTCATAAAAATAATCGGTATGATTTTATTGAATTTGGAAATATTTGGATCAAGAATGGTAAAAAGGTCCAGAATCTATCAACTATCTCGTCATCTTTAACAATGAAGCAAAATTCATTTGACGCTCTGTTCACACAGTCCATAGCCATGACGTTCGTCAATTGACCTCGTTTTTATCCGTTTTTGTGTGAAAACATGAATGAAAGAAAACGCAGGACCGTAGCATGATTTCAAAATCATGCATGATTTCAAGGTCTGCATGACTTCAAAATCATGCAGACCTTGATCAATTTTAAGCTTTATTAATTTTAAGCGGCTACATTATCCATGACAAACTGCAAAGAATGAAGATAGTACCCACAGTTTTCTGCAACTTATCCTAGTTATCCAATATATAGTAAATTAAATACGCCCTCGCCTTTTAGTACTACCAAATTGTCAATTTCGACATACTAAAACGCTGTTTTCTGACCATCAGAATTCTGTCAAATCTTCCCCCCAAAGGCCAGGAAATGGCATTTCAGAGACTCTAGATTTAAAAATTTCCTCGGGCCTTCGGCCCTCGCTTTCAGCCCCCCCAATCAAAAAGAGCTTCCTACGGCCCTGAAACGCTATGGAAACGACACCGTGTGGATTAATATTTAGGATGAGGGGTCAAAACATTTTCAGTAAAAAAAATAGGGGGTCATAATTTTTTATCAACTTTTGTCTTGGGGGTTCCATGTTTTCGCATGGAATTAGACATCAGTTCCTCCGGCCCACCCCCCCCAGCTAAAAAATGAATGCTCCCTTAAAAGAGTGAAAACCTTTTCAAACATCGTGTGAGTACTTCAGCAATACTGTAAAGTGTATTTCTGGCTTTAAACACTGCAGAATGCTGTTTGAAGGACTTAAAATTACCTCAAATTTTCCTGGGAATTTCAAAGATGGTGGATATTTGAACATGAAATACACGATCAACTGTTCTGAGGTAAATACATTTCTATATACTGTATGTTTTTACAATCAGATAATTCTGCGTAGTTTAAGTAAATGTAGTGTTTATAAAATAATTTGTTGCTTTTGTTGTTTTGTAATGGCTGTATAATGCAATATAAACTTTGTAATTAGTCCACCCACCATTATTAATTAGTCCACCCACCATTGCTATCGTGTGTGGTGCAGAAATGACTTCAGTTGATACTTGCATGAAAAAAAGAAAATGAAACTGCAGGTTAAGTGCCAGTATTTAGTGAAAATCACTTATTAGTTGGTTTTAGCGAAGTGGAAAATGTTTTGAAAATGAAGGAGGAAATTAGCCTTTCTCACGCCGCCATTTTTGGGTGGCATTTCAGCCGAAGTCTGCGAGATCAGTTCACATAACAGCGACTTTTTATAATTGATGAATGATGGTAAATTTGCTTTGTAAATGGTTAGTTTATTTTGAAAAATTACTTTTCACATTGTTTTAATTGTCTGCATTGGTTAACAAGAATTAGATGCCACCCAAAAATGGCGGATGTTTGTCATTGTGAGAAAGGCTAATTGTAACCCCCCTGCCCTGTTCGGATGTCCTAATGCACTTACTGTTATCAAAAACACATTTTCCTCCCCTCCCCCTCTGGATGGCAGAAGTGTGGATATTTTCTGGAACAACCCAATGAGTAAAATGCTGAATCGTTGCATGTTCTCCCACAGATCTGTGGCGAATAGTGATGACTCAATTTAATATTGTCAAAGACTTAAAACACCTTCAGTTGTATAAACAGTTTTGGTAGATAACTCTTTAGAATACTTTTAAATAGTGATGATTCTCTAATGTTTCTTTATATCGACTCTTGTGTCAGCTTAATTTAAATTGGCATCCAACTTTTGCCAGTGTGGAATGCTTGTATTGCGCGGCGGAGATATCGGGCACACAATTTCGATGCTTTCTATATATTTACTATTAAATTTTCAAAATCTCTGGCACGCAATTTCCAAACTTTCCAGCCAGGAACATGTGTGACTCATTTCTTTGGTGGAAAATAGGATAAAATGTTGGAAGGATAAAATGGATAATAGGTGGAAAATAGGATAAACTGTTGGAAAATAGGATAAACTTTGGTGGAAAATAGGATAAACTTTGGTGGAAAATAGGATAAACTTTGGTGGAAAATAGGATAAAATGTTGGAAGGATAAAATGTTGTCTGTGTTTACATGAACTTCATTATTTGTAACTTTGGCAGGTTTAGAGGGGACTGGTAATGAGTCTTGACTAAGAATGTTTCTATCTAGCATAATGTGACATAACAGTTATATAAAATATAGCTTCTGATTTTCATCAAAATACACTTGCCATGTTTTGAGAGGCATTTACCCCCCTGAACACCTGCCATTTTGAACATTTTCAGGGTGGTGAATGCCTCTCAAAAGCACATTGTGTGGTTGTGCCATGGTTTAAGTTGACTTCCCATGATGCATGCTGGATGAAGTTTACATGGAATGTAGAATACCTCTTCACCCTGGCTCTTAAAACAGTCAACAAAGTAAAGCAAAGACCTTAGAACTGGCTTCCTCACAAAATAAATAAATAAATATCTCTGTCACAGGAGTATTTTCCATGCAATATGCCGGTACTTTAGATATTGGGTTGATCGTTTGCAACAAAAATTGAGAAGTTGTGTTACTTAGCCAAATTATACCACGTGTTCAATGCTTAACAGTTCTGCATCTGCTAATGTTTTCTTTAAGGTTACAGAACACCTTTGAGGGTTAATTTTGCCTAAACATTTTTTATTGGTTTCCATGAAAGCATTAGACTAGTTCTACTATCTGACCAAGTTTGAACGAAAAATGTTGAAAACTCGCAGACTTATTTAATAAAATACATTTCGCTGCAGTAAGAAAAACATTGCAAATGTAATATTCAAATTCAATTTTCTCCCGAAGAATTTTACGGTAATTACTGATTTTCAAACGAGTTGTGCTCCTGCGGGTTTTGACCAATTTTTCTCAAATTTTCACAGCACATAGCTAAAGACGTCAGTTTCAAAATTGTGTTCGGCTTTGTTCTAATTTTGGATATTTTAATAATAAAGAGCAATTCACTCAAACAATTCAGAAATATATTGCAGTCGTCAAAGAAATCGCCATATCAGCGGAATGACGAAATAAACAAAAAATTCCGAACACAATTTTTTAGAACAACTATTTTACTGTATAAAAATGATATTTTCATAAATATAACTTAAAACCAGCAGGAGCACAACTCAAAAGCGTAACGGTACCGCGATTTAAGATTTTCCTGAATAATTCTTATATTATTTTATTGTTTGTTAATTTTACAACTTTACCATATTTTGCATACACTGGCGAACATTTGGTGAAAATTTGATTCAAATCGGACTGATATTGAGCGCGCAGTAACGATTTTCCGCAAAACGCCAAAAAGGGTGTCCTGTAACCTTAAAGGACATTGGCAACCAAAATTTTTATTGCTTATATCTATTAGGTATGCTTACGGAATACTTAATTTTATATTTTGGCCGGTTTGTCGCATTTAGTTGTTGAGAAAATGTAATAAAAAGTTCAACAGTAGTCCGCCATTTTGAAAATAAACACTTGTGCCACAGCATACATTATCTGACGTCATTAGATGGGTAAACACAATTTCATGACTATAAAACAATACCGAGTATTACCATGCGTAGTGCACTTTGAGCCTAAACGAAGGGCAGAAACGTTTTACCAAGTATGTTCCTTATTTGTAACACTATTTTTGATAGTATATCAGTCCTAGTCCGTGTTAAATAAACGCAGTAATTCGAGTGTAAACAAGGCAAACACTAATGCAATATTTTATGATCAATTACCTGTATTGTAAATTGCGCCATTCCTTGCTTTCCCAGTCGCTCGATATGTTTTTATCTGATAGTGTAGGCTTCTCTTGTTTGATTGCGAAAAGTATTGGCCAGTATAACGCTCAAAACGACACATTTTTGGCTAACACGACACGCACGCAATAGAATTCTCACTTGTAGTTTTGGTGCTACCCATCTAATAACGTCACAAAATTCGTTGACCTTCGAAGGTCATTTTTTCCAAGATGGCGGCGACACACAAAGTTTGCATGCATTTTACTCCTAGAGTAAAATGTTCGAGAAGGAAATGATAATATTTTCATAGTTAGGTTGTCAAGTAGGATTGAAATAGCCAATAAAAATTTTCGTTGCCAATGTCCTTTAAGTTAAAGAACTATATTGACTGATTAATTAAACCACATTGTATTGTCTCATCATCATAACATTTTTGGTTTACGTAATTACGTTTTCCCTTGATTTGTATAATCCATGGAAGCGTTTATGCTGTTGAAAAAATCACAGTCTTAAGAGGTCTCATAATTATAGATATATTTGAACGTTTCCTCAAATTGCATGTGGTAATTTTACTAATTTATGTGACAGCAGGGAGTATTGCAAATTATTTGGTAACATGCTGTGTCGCATAAAGACGTGTTTTGTTCAGTGTTTGTCAATTGTGATATAGATTGACGCTTCTATCTCACGTATATATACGTTACATAACTGCAAATGGACCTTTCCCCTTATAACTAAAATTTTCGTCTAGAACAAAAATTTGCAGCTTGAA